GCGGCCCGGGCCGGTGGGCTTCCTTCGGGAAGCTTCCTTCGGGAAGCTCGCCGGGATTGGGAGAGGCAGCGGCCCGAGACGTGCGCGGAGCAAGTGCCCGCGAGCAGTGAAGAACCGCGGCCGGACACCTGGACTTTCTCCCGGCCTCACCTTGCGGACCGCGAGAGGCCGGATGGAGGCTCTCGGGCCTCTGTCTCGCTCATAAGGCGAATCAAGCTGTGGTTTCCTTTGTGTTGTTTTTTTCCATGTGGTTTTTGAGACGCATGACTGAATCGTCCTTCCAGGGCATGGCGGGTGGGTTCGAACTGCAGCCCTGGAGGTTCACCGCCCAGCGCCTCGCGCACCGTATCCCTGCCACTGAGTCAATTCCGAGCCGTAGTAACCCGAGGACTAACTTCTCCTTTGGGTTTCAGAGGCTACAAACCTTTACAGGAGCAGAATGCTGTTCCTCCTGAGGAACAGGTAGGAGGTTTGAACTGCTGACCCTGGCAGTGACCGGCCCAGTGCATAGTCCACTATGCCACAGGGCCCTCTTGTAAGCGCACTACCGTCAGCTGATGCCGACTCACAGCGACCCTATAGAGGTGTGTGAATGCTGTTCCCAGCACCCATTCCGTGCTTTTCACTGGTTGCTGCAAGGATCAAAATAAATGGGAAAGCCTTTGAAGGGACAAAAATCAAACAGCCTACAACCATCTGTGAGCTGGTGAAACACGTTGTGAAACTATAGGACAGTGTGCAACCATTCCCATAGCGTTACCAAAGCGGATTGCCACATCTTTATCCCAGAGAACGCCTGCTGGGCTCAAATCACCCAGACTCCTTGTAGAGAGACAAACTACAAATGTGAGATTAATTATTAAACGGAAACTTTATTGTGAATAAGAGGTTTTCAAGAATGACTTCTTTGTACCACGGAAGCCTTTAGGATAGAAACGCATTCGGTGGCTTTTTGTCATTTTCTTACTTGACGTCTCCAATTCCTAAAAGCGGGTGTTGCCAAACAGTAATCCTTTTCACGAGGGAAAGCTACGTTCATGGCTTGGAACCTGAGGCCCTTGTGTGGTCCCGTAATGGAGTGTGGACCCTGGGAGAGATCTGGAAGACCCTTAGTTCCTGCACTAAGTACCTCCCATGCGTCCGTGGTCTTGTAGTTTTTGTGTCTTTTTAAAATTCCTTAGGCTTTTCTGCTTCTGCGCGGTCAGGCAAGCTGCTTGCTCACTGACTAGAAAAGGCAGTGGCGAAGTCAGGGTTCCTACACTGGTCTGCCCTTGAGTGATTGGGGCTTGGGCACATTGGCTAACCTCTCAGTCTCTGGTGGTTTGTATCATAAAGAACTTGGCACGGCAAGCGCTCTGTAACTGTCAACTCCCAGCACCTTCCAGTGCTAGGTGATCAGAGGAACGCAGTTCTCGGGACTCAACACCGTGTGAAACAAAACCGGTATCCACCAAACCCAGTTTTGAGTCAGAGAACGCTTCCCCGAGAATAAAACTCATCAGCTTATGGTAGCTGTTTCCTTCTAGCGCCAAAGCTTTTGCTGTGGCTTGTTGGCTTGCTCCTTGACTTTCCTAGATTGGAGTTATGTTGTGAGGGGGTTGAGCAGCCTAACCTTTGACTAAGCAAATGCCAGGTGGTGAAGGGCTAGGGAGCTACAGGGCTAGGGGTGAAGATAGGGGTTCTCTGTCAGAGACAAGCGTGGCCTGACCTGACCTGACCTGGAGGGTCGATTTACGGAAAATGCTGGAGTTCCTGAATGTGGCAAATGGTCAAGCACTTCACTACTGACCAGTCTGTGATTCAGACCTGCTCAAGGGCCCCTTGGAAGAAGGATCTGCCCACCTTCTATAAGGTCACTGTCACAAGATCCTATGGAGGTCAGTTCTCCTCAGTGGCACCTGATAGAGAAAGTACGTGCAGGTTTGGGAATAGCAACCATCCAAGCTGATGAGGGGCTCCCTTGCTAACTGCAAGGTCCGTTAAAAAAAAAAGCCCCTTTCTTAAACATTTAAAGTCTCAGATCAAAACCCAAAGGGGCAGTTCTATTCTGCCCTATGGGGTCGCTATGAGTCAGCATCAACTCGATGGCAGTTTGTTTTAGGGGCTTTTTTTAAGCCGTTAAGAGGACGTTGGCTTGCTGATTGGATAAGCAATCCAGTGAAACTTTAGTCGAGGGCCTCAGTTGCCATGGTGAAAGCCTGTGGACACAAGATGTCAAGGACCAGAAGATCGGGGTGGTTGCCTAGGATCCCACTGTGTATCATTTTGCAAGTCATTTCATCTCAACTCTGAAGTGAGAACGCCGTGTCTGAAATCACAGTGGAACGGGACTTGTCCGTGTGCCTTCCTTGGGAAAGGAAAGCGAAATCTGAACTGGGTCTCTCCCACAAGGAATTGTGAAGCGACCACTGGTTCCTACTGTCCTTTTGGTTACTCAGGCTGTCATCGTTGTTGTTAGATGTCATTAAGTTGGTTCCGACCCATAGCAACCCTGTGTGCCACGGAAGGAAACACTGCCCTGTCCTGTGTCGCCCGCACAATCACTCCCAGGCCTGAGCCCATTGTTGTAGCCGCAGTGCCAGTCCATCTCCTTGAGGACCTTCCTCTTTTCTCTGCCCCTCTACTTTACCAAACAGGATGTCCCCCTCCTGGGACTGGTCTCTCCTGACATGTCCAAGGGATGGGAAAGGAAGTCTCGCTATCCTTACCTCTAAGGAGCGCTCAGGTGTTCGAGCCAAGTGAAATGACTTGGTAGGGCTTTTCCAGGCATGGCCTTGGTAACTCCTTGGGTGGCACCGTGCAAATGGAGTGTGTGAAGCCCTAATGTGAGGTGTGGTCGGTTTCACCATCCCCCTGCTGGGTATAAAACAAGCCATCTCATCAACAAGAATCGGAGTCTCATGACCATCAAGAGGGAAGACAGGACAAGCATATTCTAAGGAATGTGATATCCCTGCACAGAGCTTCCTTCATCCAGGAGACAGAACTCTGACTCCACAGATGGCCAAAGACAGACAGACAGACTTGGTGGAGAAGCAACAGAGGCACCAACAATAGAGTAGAGCATGGGCTTCCTACTCCATGAAGGAGTGGAGACCAGTGTCTTGAGGCAGGAGGCTCCCTTAATCTAAGGAGTTAAGTTTGCTGACCTGTGGTGCCAGAGACAAGCTCCTTTGGGCTGAGGCTTACAGTGGAGAGGTGTGCCCTGTGGGCACTTATCAGCAGTACTCCAGGAGCTTGGTAACACCGGAGCAGGAAAGGGGTCAAGGGGCCCGGTGACTGAGGAGCCAGGGCTCACCGAGAGAGCCATGCCTATGCACAGCTGAGACGAGGCACTGCAAAGCTGCCGTTTCGGATCCTGATTTGTAATTTGTTAACTTCCCTAATAAAACCCTCATCGATACGAGTCTTGTGTGTGAGTTCTGTGTGGCCCCTGCAAGGCAGCAGAGAAGTAAAGTGTCTCAGACTGTGTTGTTTTTCATTGGCACACTTTTGAAACTTGACAAAGATATTGTGTTAGATGACAACTCAAGCTAGAAGGGCAGTCGCAAGTAAAATTAGAGCCGATCTCTGCCTTTTGTTAAATATACGTCAGGTTCACCTGGGGGTGCTTTCTACAAGGCATTGTAAAGACCTGCCTAATGACTCTTGCTTATCAACTCAGTGTGTTCACGGAGCC